TTCTGCCACTGCTACTCTTTTCTTAAAGGTTATCAGCAACGGAAATTCCAACAGCGCCTCACTGCTGACCATCAGTATAGCTAACGACTGCCAGGATGTCCTCTTATCTAATCGTAGTGCCCTGGCCTGCAGGCGGCCTCCGGGCCAGCTGATAACATTTTGTTGTTGTTGGAGGAAATGCTTTAGCTCCAAGGGAGAGTGTCTGTCCAAGTGACACTGCCCAGAAGGAAGAGGCCTGGTTCTCTGGGGGGAGGCCACAGCCCCTGAACAGGACTGAATCAGTCCCTGCCTGTCCTTTGATCAACAGACCCTGCTATCCTTCTCATCTCCCTGTTTGCTTTCTCCTGTCAGTCATGTGACTTGGTTCTAGAAACATTTCCTGCCTAGAAGAGACCCTCCTTGACTACCACATCCATGCTGTGCCCTGCCCCAGGACCCCTGACCATACCATATATATAGTTTTTAATTTTTTTTTAACTGCGGATCTCTCCTTCTTCCTCACCCCTAGCTAGGATCTTTGTCTGATTAGAGCAGTGCCTAGCACAGAAGAAGCTCAGAAATGTTTGTCAATGCCTGCCTGAAATCAGCATTTATCTAGTACACATTCTGTATGTTTGCCAGGAGCTTGCAATACAAACATATTTAAAGTTAAGGCCTCCACACTTAAGCAGCTCTCCCAGGAAACCACCCTGCAAGAGAGGAAATGCTACCTCTGCAGAGAGGCCTGGTTCTATGATCACACCCTCAACCTGATCAAGGTCCTCACAAGGACAGGACGGCAGTCCCACATCCCCCACAGAAACTGTCCCTCCTACATACAACTGACACAGCAGCACGTGCCTCTACACACACCTCCTAACAGGACTCCATCTGAGTGGTGCAGACCATACACATGGTCCACGTGTTTTGGCTGGCCTGCACTGTGAGGGCCAGATGCTGCTGTCAGCAGGGTAGCTCTGTCCTGAGACAGAGGTGTCTCCCTAGGCCTTTTGATCAAAAGCCAAGGGGCAGACAAGTGCTCACTATAAGCTTGCTGCTTTACTAGCTGTAGAACTTTGCACAAGTTATTTAGCTTTTCAGGGTCTCAGTTTGCTCATCTGTACTTGCTGTAAGTTGATGTCAGAAGAAACAGCAAGGAAAAGAGTCTGAAACTGGACCTGAACATGGTTTAATAAATGTCGTTGCTGGTGTCATTGAGAGTGAGAGGATGACTGTTCAGCATCCTTCAGATAGATGTGAATTTCCAGAATGTTCTAGCATCATTAATGTGAACTCAAAGGTGATTTTAATATACAGATACATCAATTTGAAAAGAATCTGAATGATGTATGGAAGTACATGCGAATGTGCATGTGTATGTATATAAACGTGGGTGTCTGTGTGATACACACACACACACACACACACACACACACACACACCCCTGTTGTGTCTGCTCAGAGGGCCTAGAAGCAATGCCACTCCAGGAGCAATGAGCACACCTAGTGGCCAGATCTTGGTTTCTAAATTCATTCCTATGTTGGTTGCACTGCTGAGGTGAGGAGAGTACAAGATGAGGCTAGAATATCTTTCTGTGACAGCAAGGAAGCAGTGCTCAAATTACGATGGAGAAATGTCAGAGACCGGAGCCAGGCCCTAGTGGACAGATCTGGGACAACATAAATATCAACATAACTAATGATAACAAAAGACTGCAACTTATCAAATAAAGTTAAAATCCGTGAGTCCACACTGATATAAAGAAAGGAGGGACCCGGCATGGTGGCTCACACCTGTAATCCCAGCACTTTGGGAAGCCAAGGCAGGCAGATCACTTGAGGTCAGGAGTTCAAGACCAGTGGGGCCAACATGGTGAAATCCCATCTCTACTAAAAATACAAAAATTAGCTGGGCATGGTGGCAAATGCCCATAATTCCAGCTACTTGGGAGGCTGAGGCAGGAGAACTGCTTGAACACAGAAGATAGAGGTTGCAGTGAGCCAAGATCAAGATGGCACAACTGCACTCCAGCCTGGGTGACAGTGACTCCTCCATCTCAAAAAAAAGGATAAACAAAGGAAGAAAATTCCTTCTTTATAGTAGGAAACCAACTAATAAATAAAAAAAAAACAGCAAAATTAGAAAAATCACCATTTGGCAACTATAATAATAATAAACCTATTCAGGCAAGAATCATCAAGAGATGCTAAAACTAATGGCTGATAGACTGAGGACTAATCAGATATCTACACAATCTCAGAGCTTCTCCCTGTAAGATGCTTATTAATTGCAAAGATGAAACAGTAACTTTGCGGTGGAGACACCTGGAAGACACCACTTTAACTGAGAGTTCAAAGCTAAGATCCCCAGTAATGGGAGAGAACCACGCCGGCGCCTCTTGATACAATGTGCTTAAAAGGACACATCATCTCTGAGCTAGTCCTGCCAATCTAATCACAAGGAAACATCAGAGGAGCCAAAATTGAGGGCATTCTCTCAAATAACTGGACTGAACTCGTCAAAAAGGTTAACATGTTGAAATAAAAGATTAAGAAAGTTTTCCAAGAAAGTTACGTGCCAACTGGCTTTTCTTTTGCCGTGAAGGAATTTATCTGCGGCAACTGGTGAAATCTGAATAAGAAATCAGAAGGTTAGATAATAGTTCAAATCAATGTTAACTTTCTGACTTAGAAAATTGTATTCTAAGATGCAACTTTCTGATTTCAGGAAAAAGGTAGAGAAAAAAGAAAAAATAAACATAATAAAATGTGAACATTTAAAAACCTGGACGAAGGGAGTCCAGGAATTTGTTGGCTGTTCTTATAACTTTTCTATAAATTTGCATTTATATAAAAATAAAACAACTTTTAAAAATTAAAAATGGAAAAGAATGCTCTGGGTTCATGAGATTGAGAAAAAAAATCAATATATTACTTTGTACATTGTATGTGCCCAATAATTTAAAGCTATAATAATTATTAGTAGTAATAATGATAATAATTATTAGTAGAACAGTGCACCTGGCACATAATAAGCTGAAAATGAACAAAAAATATTATCACTATTATCATCAGCATCATTATCATCGTTCTTGATGTGCTTGATTCTAAGAAAGAACTAAAAAATGAATACTATTATTTGTGTTACTTATAATTACTTCATATCTGCATTAAACTCCGTTGTTTGAAGGTTATAGAAATGCCTGCTTAAAATGCATATAGCACTCCTCTGTAATGGTGAGGTGCTTGAAGACTAACCAAAAGAAAGAGGCGGGGAGCCATTTCACAACTAGATGTGTAGAATACATATCAATTTGGGTCTGTTCTCATCAGTGAAGTCTCTGCTTTGTTCTTGTTTGTGCTTGGGTAACCCAAAGATAAGAAAGCCTGACTTCTAAATGCTAAACCTGGGGCCTTTGCCCAGACCTGTTGACCATCTTGAGTCTCTTCTATGTTCTTTGTTGGGTCTCTTCCAAACAAACTGTTCATCTCAATGATCAGCCCTTGTTATTCCCACTTGCACTGGCTAATGCGCCCAGCAGAACCTCCTGTTATGCCCCCAGTCTTGTCCCATCTAAGATGTGAGCCTAGCTCCAGGTACAAGGCTCTCCCCCACCTGTCTACTGTACAGCACTGCCTGTGTTCAGCACAATTCTGAGATGTGGTACATTCCCAAGCATCATGACTCTGTTCAACATGTTCTTTCAAAGTAAACCTACGACCATAGCCAGGAACCATATTGCCTTTTGTCTCCATTCTTCCTCATTAGTCTAAGATTCCTGAATGCCATATCTTTAGCTCATTTTCTTCCTCTCCTTGTTTCTTATCGCTCTTGCCCATATATTTACCCCTTGGGAACATGGAAACTATTGTTTCTCACCCTTTAGAGGAGGCCCCACGTGGCCCTTGACCTACCTGTGACCCCAGAAGGGCTCAAGCTCACATCCACATTTACTTGTATAAATAAAACGAATAAACCCCAAGGTCCAAGTGGATTTGTTTTACATGGAGTCACACACAGAGACCACAAGATGGCTCCCAAAGAAATTTGAAAAGTTACCCCATTCTTATACTAGAGAGAGAGAGAGAGAGAGAGAGAGAGAGAGAGAGAGAGAGAGTGGTCCTTGCCAATATGCCAATAATCATACAGAAAATAGCTATACACACTCACAGACATCAACCTTCCTTCTTGCCCAAGCTGGGTTAGAGACCAGCAGAGTGAAGTGACACATCCAGGGTGATGTCAATTTTTCCCAAGCTAACTCTGCACTGATAAAAATGTCCTCTATCTGCGCTATCCATGGGTATCCCTAAGCAATACGTGGCTACTAAGCACATGAAATGTGATGTGACTGAGGACTTAATTTTTCATATTGGTTCATTTTAACTACAATTTCAATATCTCCATATGGAGTGTCCCTGTGTGGACAGCTCAGCTGTAGACCAGAGATTGTAACACCTTTCTGTTAAGGACCAGGGAATAAATACGTGACGCTTCACAGCTACATGGTCTCTATGGTAATGACTCAATGGGGCTGTCACAGTGTGAAAACACCCATACACGACACCTGAACAAATGAGCATGGCAGGGTACCAGCGAAGCTTTATTTACAGACAGGCTGGGCCAGACCTGTCCCGTAGGCCACAGTTTGCTGACACTTGCTCTAATACATACTGGAGTGTCTGACAGTCCTTCTTCAGGATGACAGGCACTTGTCATCAAAGGATGTTTGAATCCAGGTTTTTACCTACTAGTGTTCATGAGAGCTCAGAAACCTCTCCATTTAAGGAAAAGAAAGGCTGCTAGATACTCAGTCTGCATCTTTCTCCTGAGGGACACTGTATTCCCCTTCCATGGGAACTCCTCCTGATAGCACATTTCTAGGCAAGCAGGACATATTTCAGACACCAAGAAACAGGAGAATAACTTCCATATCCTCCATGGAACATAATCAATGGGGGGGGAAAAAAACAGAAAAAACGGCACATCTCACTTGTGCCGGGGAGAGATTTGTCACTTACCTCCATAGGCTGAGTGACTATCCACCTCTGGTCCCCAAATGGAATTGCCCTGGCCCAAGCTCACAGCGTTTGCTCACTGTAGCTCTTGGAGATGTTAATTTCCTCTCATTGACATTTCCCGTTAAGGAAGATGGAATCTGAAAATGGTACCAGCTGGAAAGGAAGAGGAGAAAAGTTTAAGTTAGTTTTGACACTTAGTCCATCCTCTGCCTTTTTAGGATGACACAAGATAAGGAAAAGATATTCAAACACTTATTCCACTCACACCCACTATCTGTTAAACAAACTCCTATTCTGTTCCATGCACAGAGCCACACACCAGGATAGAAAGGTGAGTAACTCACAACTCCCCTCCTAAGGGAGTTCACACTGGGAGAAAACAGAAAAATACACAAACAATTCAGGGCAATGTGATACAGAGGGGCCGAGCTCCTGTAATCTCAGCAGTTTGGAAGGCCAAGGCAGGCAGATCACTTGAGGTCAGGAGATCGTGACCAGCCTGGCCAACATGGTGAAACCCCGTCTTTACTAAAACTACAAAAATTAGGCAGGTGTGGTGGTGCACATTTGTAAATCCAAGCTACTCGGGAGACTGAGGCAGGAGAATCACTTGAACCCAGGAGGCGGAGGTTACAGTGAGCTGAGAACGTGCCACTGCATTCCAACCTGGGAGACAGAGCTGAAAGTTTCTGTGCTGCTCTTAACGCCAGATTAAATATTTTTTTTTCCTAAAAAAAAAAAAAAAAAATGGGGAAATGACCAACTCAGTATGGAAGAATTTGAAGAACAGATGATATTTTTAGCTGCTCCTTAAACAAAGGAGGTGCTATTTAGTAAAAACACAAAACACAGGGAAAAGAAAAAGAAATATGTAAGACATGAATGTGAAAATGTGATGTCAGGGTTAGGATAGATCAGGCTGATGCCACATAGGAAAGGGCTTCTGAAGACTTTCTCTGGCTGGGTGCAGTGGCTCACGCCTGTCATTCCAGCACTTTGAGAGGCCAAGTTGGGTGGATCACTTGAGGTCAGGAGTTCAAAACCAGCCTGGCCAACAGGGTGAAACCTTGTCTCTACTAAAAATGCAAAAATTAGCCACGTATGGTGGCATGTAGTGCATGCCTATAGTCCCAGGGACTCAGAAGTCTGAGGCAGGAGAATCGCTTAAACCTGAGAGATGAGGTTGCAGTGAGCTGGGATCACACCACTGCACTCCAGCTTGGGTGACAGAGCCAGACACTGCCTCAGGGAGAAAGAAAAGAAAGACTTCATCTGGCGCTAAGAACAGCACAAAAACTCTCCGCTCTTACTGGGCCCCAAGCACCAGGATATGTGCAGATGCTCAGTTTCCTCATCTGATCCTCTCATGAAATCACTGAGGTGGTCCCACGGACTATTCCCATTGTATGGATGGGCAGCTGAGGCTTTGAGAGCTTACAAGTGAACCTGTCCAGTAGGACAAAAGCAGTACAGGGCAGGGTAGAGACCACACAGGCAACAACTCCATTCAATCCTTCAAACCATTGCTGTAGAAATGGCCCCAATCTGTTCAGGCCACCTACACACACACTATGCAGTGTGGCTTTGCCTCCCTTCCCAGCATGGTAGAAATCGAAGTTTGGTCACGAGACTTGCTTTAGCCAATGGTACAATAGCAAAGGTGACACAAATAAAGGTTTTAAAAGTGCTTATGTCTTAGAGTTCCTCTCTCTTGCTGCTGGAAATCATTCTTCGTTTTTTTTTGTTGGTTTGTTTTCTGTTTTTGGATATGAGGTCTCACTCAGTTGCCCAGGCTGGAGGGGCAGTGGCATGACAACCACTCACTGCAGCCTTGACCTCCCAGGCTCAAGGATCCTCCCTCTAAGACTCCCAAGTAGCTGGAACTACAGGCTTATGCCACCACACCCAGATAATTATTTTTATTTTAGGTAGGGTCTGGCTGTGTTGCCAGGGCTGGTCTCAAGCTCCTGGGGATGAGCCACCATGCCCAGCTGCTGTTGGAAATCATTTTTCTGCCACATGAGCAAGCCTGAGGTAGCCCCCTGGAGGATGACAGACAATGTGGAGAGAGGCTGAGGCACCCCAGCTCAGCCCCCAGGGGTGTGGATGGGCCACCACATGCAATCAGCCTAACACAAGCTGTGCAGACCAGACCATCAACCCACAGAAACCATAAATGTCTACTGTTTTAAGGCACTAAGGTTTGGGGCTGTTTGTTACACAGAGAAAGCTGACTGATACAACCACTGAGGTATCTTTATACCGCTGGCAATGGTGATATATGAGGATAAATTTGAGTGTTAGGAAGAAAGTTCAACCCATTGAGTTGGTGACTATAAAGAGCCAATGAGGGCCAGAAGGCAGGGCCCTGGTCAAAAGGAGGAGTGGGAGATTCAAGAGCTCTTTTAGAGGGAGAAACAACAGCATTTAGTGACTGACTGAGCCCAGAGTTGTCTAAAGCCATTTGCCTGGCTCTGGAGCCCATGTGTGGCATTGACTATAAACACATTCTATTTGGCACCTGCTGATGGGGGCAGGATGTTTACATGGAAGATACATGAACGTGACCAGAGTCAGCACAGTTAGGGCTCAGGGTCTTGGAAAGCTATAGGAATGAAACTCTTTCTTTTCAGAAATGAGAATTAAGGCACAAAGCTCACTGCCACCACCACCTAGCCAGTCTTGCAATAGCGCATCACCTCTAATGCCATCTCCCTCTCTTAGCAGCAGCCAGGGGGATCCCTGCAGAGTGTAACTCCCGCCTCCCTCCCTTGCATCACTGGCTCACACCTTCCCCATTCCCTCTGTACTTTCTGCTCATCCTTCAGATTTCATCGTAGACAGCACTTCCCAGACATCTTTACTGTCTCTGGGGATGAGGCTGAGCACTGCCCCTCTAAATTTCCAGTGTTCTTTGCATTCCTACAAAGCATTATCACCACCATGTTAACTCCATAAAGGCAAGGGCATGTCTGCCCTACAAACCACCGGGATGTGGGAGAAATTCTATTCCTATTTCTTGAAGAGAGTGATGAAAACAACAAAGGTATCACATTTCTAAGATGTTTTCTTTGGCACACCCCCTTCCAAACTTGAAGCTGGGTTAGGGCCTTACCTTGAAGCACCCATGGCTTCCTTCATGTGTGCATTCATTCATTTTTCCATTTAGCAAGAACTTACTAAGCACTAGGCATCACCTCAATCCTACCATTGGTTGCTTTCACTAGACCGAGCCTCTCAGAGGTAGGGAAGTGGGGCTGTGTTTTACTTATCACTAGATTTCCCCACTCTCACCCCCACTGGCTCTCAGATGCACTAAATAATGATCAGCAAATCCATGAATAAGTGGGTGAACAACCAGTTAAGTCTCAGAGGATCAGTCAGTATCCGGCTGATTTATGACTGTGCAGAAGCTTATTACCGAGTTTGAGCCTTACGTATGTTACGTTACTAAATAGTTGATAATCCTCATAATATAAAAACCTGCATGTATACATGCCTGTGTCAGAATATATACTGTAACTGTTCTATGCCATAAGATAGAAGGGGGTAATCTATGAATCAGATTAAACATGGAGCCCTGCTCTGAATGAAGCCTCTGACTCCATAGGCTGGCACCTGTGGCTAACTGTGATCTTCAATTAAAGCCTAAGCCTCTTCTTGAAGCAATGCCTCACATCCTGAACCAATTCTTTCATTGGTCTTAAGTAGGCTTTGAAAAAAAAATAAGTTGGCAATTGCATTGGATTCCGAATCCCAACTGAGAGGTTTGCAACCTGGAGGCTTATCTTAAAAACTAGAACTGCACCCCATGCGGGGCTTCCCTTCCACAGCCTCGGCTTCTTAGCTTCTCTGATGCAGCACTGCAGAGGAAAGGCAATTATTCCACTGTCCTTCTGCCCAAGATCCCAGGAACGGCCAAATGAGATCCTTACCCTTTCTTTACCCTTTGGTTTTAACAGGAGCCCTGGAAATCTTTTCTAAAATCCATGACCCAGTTCTCCTCTCACTCGTGTTCTGCTGTCATGCCTCTTTCTATATTGAATCACCATTTCCCCACCCTTCCAAGGTTACCTCCAGTTAAGAACAACAACTAAACTCTTATCGCTGAAACATCTGTGAAGTGTGTTCATACACACCATCCATACAAGAAAGACAAATCAGAAAGTGTCCCCAGTTTTGGAGAGGTTTCGAAAAGCTCATGTGACTCTCCAAGACCACAAAGGAGGAAACCAAGGCCAAGAGAAGTGGCTCCTTTATGAACAGTGGAGAGCAGTGCAGCTGGACCATGGGCAGAGGGCCTCAGACTGGGCTGTCAGTGTTCTTCCCAATACCAAGCTGATTACTTTCATCCTACTCCAGCCCATTCATCCCTTTCCTTTCCATCCATCCAACCAGTAGCCACTAGCACCAATCTAGGAGTTAAGCAGGGAACTGCCAGGCTTAAACCAGGAGACTAGGAAGCAAGAAAAATATCTACCTACTCCAGCCAGAGCACAGATTAGGACAAATTCCAGTCAAACAAATCACGGTCATGTTCTCATTCCTCCTGTCCTGAATCCATAAATCATGATTTCTTGGCCCATATTAGCGCTTCCGCCATCCACAGCCCCCTCATGCCACCTGAGGCTTCTTTCTACTGCATAATATAATACAATAACTCACAAGAGACTGTGTTCCCCAGTTTTGTGTCTCTTGGACTAGAGCAGCAAACTAGAAGTGAAGCTTGACACCACTCCTGGAGGGGCAGGGCCAGTTTGCTTAATATATCATGGCTTTTCCTCTCCATGCAAATACTCATCTGAATAACTGTTACCACTGGGTCTGGCTGCATACTATTTCTGCATTTTTAAATTACAGGGATCGTTTCTGAGGCCTGTGGACATGGCATGTTCCACCCAAAACAGTGTGGCCTGCTTCTAGGTGTGCCCCAGGGGAGACTGATCAAGTCAAGCTGTGTGATTTTAGAAAAGCAGCTTTTCTCTGAGTTTTACTTTACTCTTTGGTAAAATGGAACTGTCTCTGCTTTAATTGTTTTGCAGGGCTCTGCTAAAAAATAAGTGAATACTGGGCTGGGCGTGGTGGCTTATGTCTGTAATCCCAACACTTTGGGAGGCCAGGGTGGACGGACCACCTGAGGTTGGGAGTTCGAG